TCCACCGTGTTTCACAGATGAGCTTGTATGTTTGGGATCATGAGCAGATCCTTTCTTTCTCCAAACTTTCGCCTTTCCATCACTTTGGAAAAAGTTAATCTTTGTCTCATCAGTCCATAAAACTTTTTCCCAGAATTTTTGAGGCTCATCTCTGTATCTTTTGGTAAATTCCAGCCTGACCTTCCTATTCTTCTTGCTAATGAGTGGTTTGCATCATCTGGTGTAGCCTCTGTACTTTTGTTCATGAAGTCTTCTGCGAACAGTAGATTGTGATACCTTCACTCCTGCCCTCTGGAGGTTGTTGCTGATGTCACTAACAGTTGTTTTAGGGTCTTTCTTTACAGCTCTCACAATGTTTCTGTCATCAACTGCTGATGTTTTCCTTGGTCTACCTGTTCGACGTCTGTTGCTTAGTACACCAGTGGTTTCTTTCTTCTTCAGGACATTCCAAATGGTTGTACTGGCTATGGCCAATGTTTGTGCAATGGCTCTGATTGATTGTCCATCTTCTCTCAGATTCACAATTGCTTCTTTTTCACCCATAGACAGCTCTCTGGTTTTCATGTTGGTTCCACCTCTAAATGCAGTCTGCACAGGCAAAACCTATCGTACCCAATCTGAAACTGATCTCAGACATTCAGTGCTATTTATTGTTTGAATAATCAATATAATTGGGAGACACCTGGGCAACAAAACACACCTGTCAGTCACATGTTCCAATACTTTTGCTCTCATGAAAAATGGGTGGGTTCAAACAAAAGGTGCTATCTTCTAAGTTGTGTATCAGATCCAGATGTAAATACCTGGAAATGAAAGCTGAAATGTTGATCTCTTGTCCCATATTCATCTTTTGATGTCAAACCCAAATATTTTCAGTCTACAACAAAAATAAAGGAATTGGCCTCACTGTTCCAATACTTTTGGAGGGCACTGTATGTTTGCTGGACACAGCTGTCACTCAAGAAAACAATCATGCTTCTTTTTAAGCCTTGACACGTCCAAAATGAAAGAATGATTCTTTAAATCATTTTTAAAAAGCCAGAGTCTAGCATCTTGTCGAAAAATGTCTTGATTTAGAAATTCTAGTATAATGTGGAGTTTTTGAAAAGACTTCAGAAACAGTCTGGGATGTTTTGGAGCCAGCAGTGAACACAGCTGCTTCACCTCCCAGGTGTGGTGGTTGCTGCCTGAAAAGTATGATTTTTATAATGTAATTTCTTCTGTTCTGTTCATCTACTTCATGTTATGTCTTTGTCACCACCATAAACAAACACTGACTCCATTTTCACACTGGCACAAATGACCCCACACTCTCTGACTGAACCGACACCAACCCCCAACACAGCAGTCTGCCAGCTGACATGAGAAGTTGCTAGGACATTGAGGATGTAGGTTATGAGTTAAAATTAGATTTGAACTGTCCTACCAAATTATTTGGGTGGGTAAATCTGCCTTTTCCTTCGCTGTCCCCAAGCTTGAAATGAGTTGCAAGGCATAATAATATTTGGGGGTTTTTCTGTGAAGTTGTCCGTCACAGTTTGTTCTTGAATTTAAAACTTTTTTTATTTTGCCGCCCATCTTGACCATGACTTCCTGGCAGAAGACAAACTGCATGTCAACAGGCTGCTTAAATAAAGGATCAGTTTAAAAAATACAATCAAATATTTGGTTAAGTTTAGCATTTGAGTCTTGATTCCAAATATCTCCATTAATGAAGATCTATATGTCTCAGACTATGCTGCAAAAACAACTTGGAGGATAACACTATTTTATTTTTGTGACGCATTTTTAAAGGACTAAACCGTTCACTACGAATCACATTCTTTATATTGTTGCCACTCAATTGCCAAAGCATATAGTATACCATATGCTTCCAGGAACTGGTTGCATTTCATTTAAGATAAATAATCTATTACAGTTTTTACCACTATCTGTCAGCTCACAGTTTCATGCACAGATCACTTTGGAAACACTACTCGGTGAAGCATTCAAGGACACTCCATAACCAAGGGTTGGACAGTTCACTGCTGTATTCATGACTGCTGAGAAAATCTGCTCAGAGGACAACTTTCTTTCAACACAATCTTTGATGGAGCTTGAAATCTCAGTAGGTGGACATATAAAGCCACTGATTTGGTCCCTTAATTCTGTCATTATTTTCCATTTAGTCTCCTAAAATAACCAAAATAATCATTAGTAAATGTAATAACAATCATAAATAAACTTAGCAAATTGCCATTAATTATTCTTACTACTGGTTCTAATATTACAGTGTACTGGAGCTGTGCATAGGGTTTGTGCAAGTGGAGTTGCTGTACCCCAGCAGAAGCTGTTGCTTGACTGCTGTTTGTTGGTACAATCAATGTCAAACACTGTACTGTCTTTCTATTTGATTATTTTCAAAAGTAAAAGTGACAAACTCAAATGTAATACGAGTGTTCTCTATAGGCTAAATCACTGTTCATTGTGAGTATGTTATAAAACTGCCATTAAAAGGCATGTTATATGACATTAAAAATGTCATGGTATAGTATGTCATAAAAAGTCAATGTATAGCCTAATACTAGTATGTCACAAAGCTCTGATCTAAGATTTTTGTTTCATAATGCTCCTAAAAGGTCTGTTTAATAGGTGATTAGGGCCCTGAATTATTGAATGTTGTTGGAGGATCAGGAATAACGGCTTTGTTGTCAAAGTTGCGCTCGGAAGTTCTACTCAGTTTTTTTAGGGACTGTTCATTATTTATGAGGGGGGAGGGGTGGTACTAAAAGGGGAGGCATGTCAAATAATTTTTTTATTTATTTTCTGGAGAGGGACTTATTTATGTGGCTTAGGGGAGGGGTATGCAAAATGAAATGGTTGTATTTAACTAACCACCGATTTTTAAAGAAAACATGCAGGTGGATTTGGAAGGAATGCTTTCTTTAAAAATCGCCCAAATGACACCATATATCAGAGCCAGAAATGGTAAAAACAGAAATTACTGTTGGATTTGCAAATTGCCAATAGTTCTGCCAATGTCATGTGCAACGAACGCTTCGCTAGAAAAAAGTCACTTCATTCTATGTCTCATTTAAATTTGGCCAAAAATAAACCGTCTGCACGACAAGAGTGAAAAGCCGAGGCTTTTTTTCAACTTTGTGTTTTCGTCCTCAACTTTCACACATCAAAGGGTAAGTTCCAAAAACCTAATTACTAATCTATGATGGAGGGAGGGTCATGCATTTTCTGCTAGTCACTCAGGAAGGCTCAAGGAAAAATTCTTGTAGCTGCGGGGAGGGTCATAAACAAAACAAAAAGAAGTCACACCCCAACCACCCCCTCCTCGTATAAGTAAAGAACAGTCCCTTACTTGACACTGGTGAAAAGAGTTAAGAGGAAAGTGGGATATCTGCAGTCAAACACTCACCTCCACCATCCCATTGTGATAATATATGTCAGCACATAGTTATACCTGATTCATGAGTAAATAATTCCAAACAACTTCCTGTCTTCCTCCCTGCTCTCGGCTGCTGGCAGGTGGATAATGCGACAGCCAGGAGGATGGTTTCTGCCTCACCGGCCTTTGATTGACGTTTCCCCGAAGATCCAATCGTCTCCCTCACTTACAGATATGGCAACAAGCTCAGTCAAGTCAGCCGGAATAAGCCAGACCGTGACCGGAAGCTTGGTGGCTTCATTTAAAAAATAAAAGCCACAAAAGGTAACTGAATCCATATATGCACCTAATTTTGGGCCTCTGTCAACAGAACCAACAATAAGCCCTAAAAATAAAAGAGGCTACAGAGTTACATTGCAACCCACTGAGTCCAGTTGTTTAAAGAATAAAAATAAATACACATTGTGTCAGTTATGTTTGCACTCTGAAACTTTTGTCCGTCAATAAAAGTTTTGGAACGGGTTTGATATTCTGCACTTTTCACATCCATTAAAATCCTTTAGAGAGTTGTTAGACCAAGAATGAGTGAACAAAACTGGCATAACCTGCAGGAAATGTACAACAACAGAGAGGAATAAAGCACATATAACATTTCATAACTCAAATAGCTCACTTTCAACAGCTCAGATAGTAATATTCAGGTGTATGATGATGATGAGGAGGAGGAGGATTTAATAGAAAATCACACACAGAGCGGGAGGACAGCTCAGCCCTTTAGCAACAAGTTACATTCATGATTTAATGAATTAATGACTGAAGTGATAAATGGATTTAACCATTTAAAAAACAAACACGACCTCTCACGACTGTCCCATTTTACCTGAACATGTCATCAGAGGGAGATAGAGATCCTTGATGTGTTTGAAAGTCCAAAGTTTCTAAATTATTTTACCTGGCAACATATATTTTAATAGAAATATAGCAGAGATACATAACAAGTTCTTACAATAACACTTGAGGTAGTCTTCACAGTTTTTGTTAATTTTCCTGGTAATCTACCAAAAAGTGTCTCAAATTAGGCTACCTGTGTCTGAAACAGATGTAGAGATACAGAGATAAATGACTAATTTGAAATATTGCAATATGTAAAACATTCCAGGTTTGAAAACACAACAAATATTATATATTTATTGTAATTTATATATGTCACATACATTAAAGAAATACAATAATACAGACCTAAACAGTCTTATGTTGGGCTTCAGTTGTTGGGAGTTCATTGCAGCACCTCAGCAGTTGATGTCAGGGGGGTCATACTTGGGGGCTAGTGGGACTGATTACCCATGGCCCCAATTGGAGGGGGCCCTTGATAAGCCTGGAATTTATCTATCTTTATTATAATTTAGTTCATTAGTGCCATAACTAAATCACAATCGTCTGAATAAATCGATTGAAAGAATGAACACTGAATAAAAGAAACAGTGGAAGTATCCCGAGGCCTCTCTCACCCCTGAAAGGAGCAAAATGGTTTAGTCCAGCCTTTCATCATGGGAGTTGTCTCTGAATGTGGCTAAAGCCGAGTGACAGCTTTTGCTGCTGGAGCACCAATGTACATGTCTTTGCCCAAGAAAATCACAGTTCCAAAAAAGAAAAAAAGGAAAGGGAATGAAAGCAAACTGGCTTTGTAATAAATAAATAAATAAACTAAAAAAAAGGATGGGGGAGGGGGCACAGAGACTGTTTAGGTGTAGGGTGCAGAATTCGATGCTACGCCCCTGGTTACTGTTGACCTCAATAATCTGCCTCATATGCTAACAAACAGTATTTGTTTGAGGGTGTAACGTTGTTGGACATACCGGGGAAAAAATCATAACTTTTTTTTTTTATTATTTTTTTTATCAACAACACATTTGTCTACTTTATTTTACTTTGCCCAAAAAAGTTGCAACATGAAAACTGGGACCGGAAGTGCCGTGGGTAGTATGGCTACCTTGACACTGTTGTGGTAACGAGGTGCAGCTGCGGTAGTTGAAGAGCGGTAGACGTGAAGCAGAGGACAGGAGACTGGGCCCAACAGGAGTCAGTGGACAGCATAAATGGCCCCGGTGCCTCCGGAGTGAAGAATGGGCTCCCCGCTATCGCAGCCATGGCCAGATCCACCAACAGAAGCGCCGAGGACGGGGACTCGCGGGTAAGCGCCCCCACGGACCGCGGAGAGGCGCGGGACCTGGCCGAGCCCCGGGAACTGTCTCTGGAGGAGGTGCTGAAGTCCTACGAGCAGCCCATCAACGAGGAGCAGGCATGGGCGGTGTGCTACCAGTGCTGCAGCGGGTTGAGGGTGCCCCGCCCGCCGGCCGGGAGAGTCAGGCGGGTGAAGGACCCGTCCTCCATCCTCCTGCACAGGGACGGAACCGTGTCACTGCAGCACGAGCCCCGACACAACGGTAGGACAACCGGCCGTTGATGCCACCAACTTCCCTCTGCTTGGGCGCGTGTCCGCACAAAACTCAACTATGAAAAAGTAAATTCTAACAATATGTTTATGATGCACAGAGTAAGTTCGCGCTTAACGTTTAACACGACATTATGTTTTAAATATCAGGACCCACTTTTAAATTCGGCATAAAGTTATGTCCACGAAGCTGCGCTGTGTTTTGGTAAAATGTCGACTGTTTCAACTGGTCCACCTGATTCCCACTGTAATCTTCCAGTAAACTATCCCGCGGTATCCAGCAGCTCAAATGTACAAACCAAAATGAATGTAATTTTTTTTTACTAGACTGCAAACTGCCTGGCTGACCATACCAACGCGGAATTCAACAGTGTCTACCAGTGCTCCATAAAAGATATTGAATTATGTTTTATCTTGCAGCAACCTTGAACAAAATCAATCCCGCGTAAAATGATCCAAATTTTATATGGAGTTTGGTACACATGAACATCTTGTCCACAGGAGAGAAACAGGCGCATCGGTGCTAACCCGTCCCGAACAACATAATATCCCCGCATAATCGACCTTCAGCTATATTATTTGATAATATCGCAGACCCTTGAGCTGACTTTACACTGACGGACACTGTATTTTGAATAAAGTCGCTGTTGTGTCGCACTCCCGATGCCAACAAGGATGACTTGTATTATGCCGGTAAATGATTAATTATTCATAGAGCACAGCTTCACCCCAGCATCTCCTCTTGCAAAGACTGTTTTGGAGACTTCAAAGGGTGGATGGAAGCCCAAAGGATATTAGGCAGTCTTCTAGTTGTTTCCCCCACTGAATTGAGTCTGTACCTGCATAATATCCTACTGCATGTGAAGTATTTATGTCCTCACTGCGGATGGGCCCAACAAACCTGCTCCAGAAGTCAGATAAGCACAGACACAACTTTATGCCAAACTCAATTTAGAAAAAGGTTTTATTCTGACTCTTTCAGAGCCACTTTATGACAAACCACATATTGTTTGAATGAAGTCTCAACTTTTGTATTCATGCAGCCTTAGGCGAGGACAGACATTATTTCCAGAATCTGATGTTTTATTCAAGTTCTGCTTGTAGCCTATTACACCAAATGTGCTGAAGGTCACAGGAAGCCTCTCAAAGGTCTTAAAGCATTTCCATTATTACATTTGCTGCACCTTTGTTGTAAAGCAGCATGCAGCCAGAATATAAAAAACATTAATAACCTTACTAAGAGATGTTGAGAGAGGCAGAAATGTGAGTTTTCAAATCTCAGTAATAAACAGGATAGCCCCAGAGCCTGTTCACTATGCACCAAGTCGTCACAACCGGATGAACCCGCGCTTTCGTGCTGTTGTCTCACAGAGTAACAGCTGTGTAGCACCTTTTAAAGGAGTTAACGGGAAAAGTTTAGAGTGTGTCTCCAGGCAATGCTTATGCATGTCACTCAGCAACAGGGTAGCATCTATCTTAAACCATTTATAGTTTGTTATTAAGTAATTGTAAAGCTCATGCATTGTTAAACTTTACACCTAGACATAAACTATAAAGGAACAGTTCACTCCAAAATCAAAAAAACATATTTTTACCCTTTCCTGTTTATCATTGTAGATTGTTTTGATGTGAGTTGTTGAGTGTTGAAGATAGAGATGTCTGCCTTTCTCCAAAATAATGGAACTAGATGAAAATTGGCTTGTGGTGTGCCACAAAAGTGCCAAAAAAATACATTTGAAAATCTCAACAGCAATCTCTCTTTCCAGAAAACATGACCCAGTTACTCAAGATAATCCACAGACTTTGTTGTGAGCAGTTTCATGTAGGAACCATGTATATCTCCAACACTCAGGCACTCACACCAGAACAATCTAGATTGATAAACAGCACTGCAGGTAAGAAGAAAAATATGTATATTTGATTTTTAGGGTGAACTGTTCCTTTAAAATTACACCCAAGCACCTATACCCCAAAGAGTGATTTCAATACTCTGTCGTATACTGTCTACATGCTGAGGTGGTAACAGTGGTGAAGTTCTTATAATAATTACCTTGGCATTCTATTCAAAGAGACCATAATAACTCTAAAGTGTTCCTCATTTTGCTGGGGACCCATTGGATCCCCCTCATGGACCACAGGGGGACACTTGAACTACTTTAGGTCTGCGTGCATCACGTTTGCCATTTAACCGTTGCACACTATTAGGATCATTCACTCCCAGCTCTCACTGAGGAGATGTTTAACTCTCATTAGCACAGTTGTTTATCCTTGTAGCCTGTGTTGGTTCACGCTCTGCTGATCCATAAGTAAACACAATGCAGCGGTTCAAATCCCTTAACCAGCATGATGTGAGTCTATTGTAGCCAGTCTGTGTGCATTATTAATGCAGCCAGTCAGCTCGAGGAGCCTTTGCATTCTTTCAGTGGCCAAAATCATCCCAAATCACCGCAACAGACAGCTGGGCTGTATAGGAAACAATTCATATTGAACAATAATCTCAGGTCCAAGCGTCATTAATAACGCACACTGTTTTATTGATCACTTCAACTGACATTTGTACTACTCTCACATGCATATTTAGGGCCCCAAAACCCACCACTGGGCTTAATGTCACATAAAGTATAACGACTATACCTTCACATGTTGGCACAGTATCGTCAAATCACACAAATGTTATTGTGTAGTAATTTTGCTCATATTTTTCCTGCTTATCATTTATTTAATTTTCTTTAAAAGGTTTTTAAACAACTATAAATAGAAATGTAATTTAGAGGTAACACACAGAGGGCGACCTAATGGTTAAGACACTTAGCATATGCTGATTGACCTGGATTCATTCTGGTCGGGCACCTTTTATGCATGCCATTCTCCCTCTCTCCTGTTCTTAATTTCCTGTCTCCTCTCCACTCTCCATCTTCAAATAAAGACAGAAAAGTGCTCAAAAATATTTAGGACACAGCTCTAAACCAGATACACCTAAATTCTGCCAGACTAACGATGAAAAAAGGTCAGTGTCCATGCATGCTGAGGTACACTACATCTCCATTCAGACATTTACGTCATGGCCGTAGTGCTTTAAATTCTTCATACAAAGGTCTGATCTGGAGGTGTCCTACAGTGTGCTCTGTCCAAATTAACAGACACACTCAGTGGGGCTCTGAAATCAACATGCAGTCAGAGGAGGAAAACTCAATCTTTACAATTGTACAAAAAGTGTCAGAGGAGGACCAAGTCTGCGAAATTGATTTCCATTCTCCCACAATATCCCTTTTAGCTAAAGGCAGCTGGGTCTCATAAGGTAGTTCAAAGGTTGGCAAGAGCACTGTCTGATGAGTTTTCTCAAATATTAAACTAATAACTGGCTTAAAATTCATTTATTCATTCATTTTCTGTAATCACTTATCCTCTCAAGGGTCGTGGGTGGGCTGGAGCCTGTCTCAGCCGCCACTGGGCAAGAGGCAGGATACACCCTGGACACGTCACCAGACTATCACAGGGTTGACACATAGAGACAGACAACCACTCGAGCTCACACTCAGGGAGGAAGCTGGAGAACCCTGAGAACACCCACGCTGACACAGCAAGAGCAAGCAAACTTTACACAGAAGGGTCCCAGACTAGCTTAAAATGATAATGATTAATTATCAAAATAAGTGTGAAACAACTTTCTGTGGACAGACTAACTGATTTATCAAGTAATTGTTGCGACACTAGTCATGACCTTTTTAATGAAACTTTGGCTTTGGAGAACACAATCTCCCCACCAGGTCCACTTTGTAGGTGTTCTGACACTTTCTGTCACATCACATGATCTGCTCCAGCTGATGGACTTTGGAATTGTAGATGTTTGAAGATGTATTGTTTCTGAGCACCCTAAGGATTTGTGTTGGTGTGTGTTGCAGAGTTCAATTTTGGTGTTCTGGAGCTTTCAGTCACCTAATCTTCATTAGCAGATGGACTAACTATGGCTCTCTCGTTAGCAGGTACGCTGTAGCAAATGCTAAGCTTACAGTATGTATGTAAGTTTATTCACCTGACCTTTGAGCCAGTTACACTGGTGAAATCTTGCAAAAATGCATCTGTAGTTTAATATATTCAATTTCTGTCATTCATGAGAAAAACAAGTCATGTATGGAGCGTTACCTCTAAACTGTGATAAAATCTTACATGATACTCCATCCTAGGAATATGAAATATATTGTAACATTAGTATTCACAGCAGGTAGCCTGCGTAGTTTCAAATGACTTTCTCTTTCCTGTAAATCTGTAAATCTAAACCTCATCAGGTTGTACAACAGTCTGCAAAGGAGGAGGAAATTAATGTGAATCCAAATACAAGCCTAGACTGAAGCGGCACCACAGCATTTTAATGTAAACATCAGCCTGTGTCACTAAGTGAGACTGCAACAGAGAAAAACAGCTCATCCTCACTGACACGCTGCAGATTCACTCTGTTTACCAAATGAAATTCTGGTGTCTGGTTGTATAAAACCTGCAGTAACAGTAGTAAACAGCAGCACGTCCACAGAAGGCTGGACTCATCAACATATTTGCTTTCATTTCTTTGTCTGTAGTCACCTTTCATATGAAACACAACAGACCGTCCTTGTTGGTAAACATGAGTGTGTGTGCAGTTTACTGCCGTCACTGACATCAGATGTTGCAGTAAGTGCCAGGCCGGCCCTACCGTCAGACAGAGTGCACATCTGATCTCAAACACATAAAAGCAACTGAATTCATGGTACTACAGTGGATTCGAGTCACATGACACGGATTGAGCCAGGCTCAAGTCACAAATGCGATGATGACTGTAGACTTAACTTGACAAAATAAATTGAAAATAAATTGCAACTCGACTTGGACTTCAAGATTTGATACATTTGGCCAATCCCAAATAGAGAAACATATTTCATTTAAAAAGTGTGCCACAAAACAATTCATGTCCCTTCATTTCCTGAGTAAACCAACATTAACGCTATTTATTCCCAGAGA